ATGTGGCTAGTTTGCAACCGAAGAACTGAATTTTAAAATGTATTTAATTTTAACTTTAAATTTAAGTAGCCACATGTGGCTAATGGCTATGGCATTAGATAGCACAGGTCTAGCATATAGTTGATCCTCAATAAGTAGTTTTGAATAAAAAATGAAAGGGGAAGGTGGCCATGAACAGCCAATTAGGACACAAGGTAGAATGCTATGGATGTAATCAACATACTTTTTGTGCCCCCTTCTTTCCTCTCACCTTTCATCCCCTCAACCTAACACTACCAATGCCTTCAATTCTGTCTTATCTATACTAATAAAAGAGTAATATGCTAATTAGACTGGGAGACCTTCCAGACAAAGCCATAGTGGTGGGGCTGAGGCAGAGGCAGTTAAGGGTGATAAAGCAGACAGGCAGAGAGGTTAGGGTCGATCAGGTAGGCAGGCAGGCAGAGTGGATAGGGGCAATCAGGTAGGCAGGCAGAGGCAGTTAGGGGCAATCAAGCAGGCAGGCAGGTAGGCAGGTGAGCAGTTGGAAGTCAGTGGTCCCAGATTGTGAGAGGGATGTCTGATTGGAATGGGTGCAGGCTGGGCTGAGGGAACCCTCATCCCCCTTGCATGAATTTCGTGTACCAGACCACTAGTATAAATATAATCCTAGTTCACTACTCATTCCTGCCTGAACTGATTTTTTTTTTCTTCTGGACTTGCCTAGTTTGATACAGTCCATCCTCTGAAGTGTACGGGTCCTAAGAGTCTTCTGGAAATGAGATCTGATCTCATCCAGTCTGGTCTGGTCTGGCAAGAGCAGGAATAACTCTCTCTCTCTTTGGGGGCCTGGACTTCACAGGGACTCATGTGGTGGGTGTTTGTCTGCACTGGCAGGCTGCCAAGTTTTTCTTAAAGGTGGCAGTTGATACTGGTTGTGCTGTGAAAACATCACAGGAGAAAAGAAGCCACAGCATTGACAGGGTTCTTGCTACTCCTGGAAACTGTGCAAACCCCAGTCAGATGACTTTCAGCCCTGACACCAGAGATGTTGGTTGGATCAGAGTCTGAAGGGGAAGGAGTCATGGGAACCAGGTGAGGTGAGAAGGGGCCAGCAATAGACCAGGGCCCAGGCCAGGCAGGCAGACAAGGCTAGCTCAGTGTTGAAGAGCAGTGAAGGTTGGAAACAACAGTTCTTTCCAATAGACTTTCCCAAATGCTCACTACCAAAAAAGTTTAAAAAGTCCAAAACCAAACGTCATAAATAAGCAAATGACAAGGTAGGTTGCAGAGCAGAATTTACAGATAATTCCAATTTTATAAAAATAAATATATTACCACCTGAGTCATATGATAAAGGACTAAGGAATATTTTATCATGTGTGAGGGTGTATATATAAATATACCTGTAGCACCTTTTGCAGAAAGAACTGTGTAAATTGTGCCCCATTCTTTGGTGAGAGGGGAGCAGGGAGCAGAGTTCATGGCATAGAAAGATATTTTACTCTTGCTGGCCCTTTGGTCTGGAAAACTCCACCCTCAGATATTCTCCAGGTATGCTTGCTGTTTATCCGGGGCACAGACCCAGCACCACGCCTGTGAGAGACCTCCTGGATCAGCTGCTCCTGACCAGCACCCCATCCAGCTTCTTTTATTCTGCCTGTCCTTTCCCTAGCTCTTCCCACTTACCGACATTATGTTACATTTCCATTTGTTTTATTTATCCAGGAGAGTAGACTTTGTTCTTCCTTATGGTTGTATTCTCATTCCTTAAAAATGACCCAGGACATAGGTAGGTGCTGAGTCGACTGAATGACTAAAATGTAACAAAGGTGTCCATTCTTCTCTGTTCCCAGAGCAGGGTGTCTTGCCTAGGCAAACTCTAAAGTTCAAGGACAGCTCTCCCCACTCCCACCAGAGCTCCAGAGGTCTCTTTAGAGGAGGGGCCAGCAAACTCATTAGTCAACAGAGCCAAATATCAACAGCACAACGATTGAAATTTCTTTGACAGCCAAATTTTTTTAAAAATATATTTTTTTATTGATTTTTTTACAGAGAGGAAGGGAGAGAGATAGAGAGCTAGAAATGTCAATGAGAGAGAAACACCGACCAGCTGCCTCTTGCACACCTCCCACCGGGGATGTGCCCGCAACCAAGGTACATGCCCTTGACCGGAATCGAACCCGGGACCCTTCAGTCCATAGGCCAACGCTCTATCCACTGAGCCAAACCGGCTTCGGCTCAAACCTTTTTTTGACCATGACCTTCAGGAAGAAATACATTCAATCCTCAGTGTTCATACATGTATATGTACTATATTTAACTGCAACAAACAAAAAACTCTTACTTTGAACAATATTTTATATTTTTTCCTTTTTTCCCTAATTTTTATGACATTGGTCTCTACCCCTTGAGTTGATTTTGCCACCTACTAAAGGGTGGCCAGTGCCATGTCTGTGGGAATAGTCAGAGGTCTCATTTGGGTCTTAGTTTCAGTATAACTGCTACAAATGCAGATTCCCGGTCCACCCCAGACTTAGTGAATGAGAGAGAGTCTTACTGGAAGGTCTACACGCGTCACAACACCTCACCCCAACCACCCCAGTTGATTCTGAAGCCTGATAAATCTTGAGAGTCACCAGGGTTTATGCGTGTCTCGAGGCCTCTTGTGGGGACATGTGTTGGGCAGAGCCTGATGCACTTTAAGGGAAGGGGCTGATTGTCCAGTTCTGGTTCAACTCAGCCCCTGAATGGTGGAACTGATGATTCCAATGTTATAAAAGTAAACTTATTCCCACACAAGCCCCTTGCACTCTCTAGTCCCTCTGCCTGGAAGAATTTCTGGTGATTTGGCTGTTTTCCCCACTCCAGCCCTCCCAGAGCCACACCAATGAAGAGGCCCCACTTTCCCCCAGAACCTTAACCCCTTCTTCCTCTTCTTGCTTTCCACAGTTTCTTTCCCCATCACACAAAATCACCTTCTGGTTTTTGGTTTTTTTTTTTTTTTTTTTTTTTCCTTACCATAAGGGTTAACAGCCCTCCCCACCCCAGCTCTTAGAACAAAAAAAATTCTAACCACAGTCCAAATGATGATGGCCCATTTCCTTCCCCACCCCTGAACAGGGTAAATGCTGTTATGTCTTCACCCACCCATTGGGATTGCATTAGAAACCTCTTTTGATGCCAAGAATGTTGCACCCTCCCACCGAAGAATGTCACAGAATTTACATTACGAAAACCTGCTACAAGTATATTTTCATTTATTGACGAGAGAGAGAGAGAGAGAGAGAGAGAGAGAGAGACCCTGACCATTGGGATGATGCTCTAACCAACTGAGCTACCCGGCCAGGACACAAGTATATTTATTGACTCCTACACCTACAATAAAACATTTATTAGCCCCTAAGTGTTTGCCATATACCCTTGCTAACAGTTTTTTGTAGATATGATCTCATATAACTCTGAAAGCAGCCCTCAGAAACAGAGTCTATTCTCACCACCATTTTAGCAATGAGGAAACTAGGCATGCTGGATTAAGTAATCTGACCAAGGTCTCATAAGAGTCATAGCTCTGGAGCTGGTAGCTGCCTTTCCCCCAGGCTTCTCTTCCATTTGTGTAGTAGCTGCTAGAGGTACCTGAATCCCAACGTGCGCAGGAGGTAGTGATGTTTCTCTTTTCGATTTTGCTCTCAGTTTCCAGTTCTGATGAACTGAGAATGTCCTCTGGCACCCAAGGCCTGGCTCCTTCTCCTGTTGAGTTCTCTCCCCAGCCCTCTGCCAAGACCTCCTAAAATGAAGTTTGGGGGTTTGGGAGCAGTGCTTTTCTTGTGTGTCCAGAAGGACTGGACTGGAGCCCCCACAGAGGGTTCAATTTGGGCTCAGATCCTAAGAAAAAAGCCACAAGACAGCTCAGGTTTGTGGGGATGGGTTCTTCATCCACATGCTTATTTGCAGTCTATTTTCTTCAGTAAACATGCCTTGATTTTTTTTGTCCAATACTAGTTTGCAGCTCGAACTGGTATGGCTCAGTGGATAGAGTGTCCGCCTGTGGACTGAAGGGTCCCAGGTTCGATTCCAGTCAAGGGCATGTACCTTGGCTGCGGGCACATCCTCAGTAGGGAGTGTGCATGAGGCAGCTAATGGATGTTTCTAACCATCTCTTTCCCTTTCTCTCTATAAAATATCAATAAAATATACTTAAAAATTACCAGTTTTCAAATTAAGAAAATTTGGATATAAATACTTTGGGGAAATCAGCCTAGCGAAGATGTTCCTCATGGGATATTAATATGCAATTAAAATTATTAAACATGTTAACCATAAGTCAAACTGCCTGGGTTCCAATCTCACTGCTACCAATTAGTCATTGTGACCCCTGACAAGTTACTCAACCTCCATAGAAATGGGGATCATCATACTTCCCTGTACTGACAGCAGGTGCTTAGCAGTTGCAGCCTCTGTCTGTGCCCCAAATACCGCGTGAAGCGTTTTCACTCACTTGGTCCTCAGCACAAGCCTGTGAAGTAGGTGCCCTCCTGATCCCCAGGTTACAGCCGAGGCCCTGGCGGGACTCAGCCAGGGGGTGGCTGTGGGACTTGATCCCAGTCTGAGACCAGAACCTAGATTTAAGCTCGCACTTGTCTAAAGCTACCTCTCAGAAAAGGCTGTTGTATTACACGATAGATCACTTATAAAGCGCTTAGCAAAAGCCTGGCAACTTATCATAGCTCAATTAAGTTTCCGGCAATTACTTTAATAGTTGGTGTTTCATGTCTGTTGTAAAAACAAACACGCATATAACACAATGTAATTCAGAGGGGGCAGTTGGGGGAGAGACTGCTGAAGCGGGTGGGATCAGGACCCGGGTCGGTCCAGGGTGCGGGCGGGCGCCTAAGGAGCGGGGAGGAAGCCGGTGGCCGCCGTTGGGACCGGGCGGGACGGGGCGGGGCGGGGCGGGCGGGAGGCCCCGCCCAGCGGCACCTGCGGCAGGTGGAGCGCGGGCGCCGGCCGGTCTCTCGGCCATGTCCGCGGGGAGCGCGGGGCCGGCGCCGGGACCCGGCCCGGGCCCTGAGCCGGGGCCTCTGTGCCCGGAGCACGGCCAGGCTCTGACGTGGTTCTGCTGCTCCGATCGGCGGCCGGTGTGCGCCGCCTGCACCGAGCCGGGCGGCGGCTGCCGGGGCCACCGCATCCGCCCGGCGGGGGAGCGCGCAGAGGAGCTGCGGGTGAGCGGGGCGGGCGCCGGGAGGGAGGCGGGGGCGCGGCGGGAGGGCGCACGGGGGCGGGGGGCGGGGACCCGAGGGCCCGGGGCCGGGCTGATCGCGGGGCCCGGCTGACCCCGGCTGACCCCGGCCGCCCGGAGCGCAGCCTCCGTGGGGGCACCGGCCGTAGAACTAGGCGGTTAAAGGGCGTGGCCGCAGAGGCAGGCATACCTGAGCGTGAATGTCACCTCCGTGCGTCCTCCCGGTGAATCTCTGCCCTCCGAGCCTCCGTGTCCCCCTCTGTAGCTTGGGGGCAATAAGAGCGCGCACTTATTGGAGTTACTATATGGCATCAATAAGGGAATAGGATCCCTGATCCCTGATGCAGAGGCTGGGAATCGGACCTGGCCTTGGGCAATCCAGGGCTCAGCTGCTCCAGCTCCCACCGCCTGATCTGTGATTAAATCCAGCCCCTCCTCGCTCCTCAAGCTCCGAGCTCACAACCCCTCCTCCCTGTGTCCACCGCTCAGGCTTCCTGGGGAGGTGATGTCTTCCCTTTCAGGTTTGGCCTTGACTTTGTCAAGCTGGTTTCACCAGAGCGAAGGGAAGAGGCGGGCAGGTATCAGGAGGTTCCTGCTAGAACGCTTCCCCTAGGTTTCTTCCCACCCCCAGCCTCCACTTGGCTCCAGGCTGGCCACCTTCCTGTCACCACCCCTCCCTGAGCTGCTGAGATTGGGGAGTTCAGACTCACCCTGGGGCTTCTTCCCTCTTTCCAGCCTACCTGTGTGCCCCCCTGGGGATTTCCTTGGGATTGGATGAAAAGGCTTGATTCTTCCAACCTCTCCCTGGAGTTCTGCCCAGCTGTGAGGCTGCGGGCTCTGGTTGGAGACTTGCCTCCTCAGACTGGACTGTAAGGAGCACCCAGGTCTGGGTGCTGAGGCCAGAGGGGATTCAGTTATTCAGTGACACCTGGACGCTCCTGGCGGGTCCTATCTGTCACCACTATCCATGACAGTGATGACGAAAATAAACTCGAGTAGTGTAGGTTAATACACTTCCATAAAGCATAGACACTTGGCAAGTTTCAAAGCACTTCAATACTCACCATCTGATGCCATCCAGATCAAGCCCCTTTGAAGTGGTGGTCCTACCAATGTTGTATAGCTGAGGGGACCGGGGCCCAGAATGGACAGTAACTCCTCCCAGGTTTCACTGTCCAGGGCTGTACTAGGGCGGTCATTGACCAGAGGAAACCATCTCTTTGCTTCAGTGGTTGGAGGGAGGAAGTGACGTGAATGGGAGTGAGAATTTAATGAAAGCCTTTTTTTAAGGTTGCCATCAGGCCTGAATTTGAGTGCTGGAAAGGGTGGAGGCTGGGGCAGGGTGGCAGCCTGATGCTTGTTCTGGAACATACTTTGCCTGGGACTCCTTCCCCGAACCCTCCCGAGGCCCTAGGTATATTCATTTTCTTTGCCTGGAGAGAGGGGTGTCTTGCCCTTTCTCCCTCCAATTTTGGTTAGATTTTTCTTCTATTCCTCCAGCCAGCAAAGAAATTTCACTCCAGCCCAAACTGGTTTGGCTCAGTGGATAGAGCATTGGCCTGTGGACTCAAGGGTCCCAGGTTCGATTCCAGTCAAGGGCATGTACCTTGGTTGCGGGCACATCCCCGGTGGGGGGTGTGCAAGAGGCAGCTGATTGATGTTTCTGACTTTCTATCCCTCTCCCTTCCTCTCTGTGAAAAATCAATAAAATATATTTTAAAATAAATAAATAAATAAGAAGAAATTCCACTTCAGGGCAAGATTATCCCTGAACTGGGCAAAAATACCACCAGTTCAAACAACTTTTCATGTACCTTCTGGGTTCCTGTCCCTTGTAGCTTTGCAGAAGCTAGTCTCGGTTCCCTTAGTCCTGTGGTGTTTGGTGATCACGGCTTCCTCCCAATCAACTCAGTTCTATAGCTTTGCATTTGGTCTGGTGAACTGTAATGCTAATTCCTGATTTGTGTGTGTGGAGGGGCTTCCTAAAAGAAGTACTAGTAGCTGAGTTCCCTTCTGGAAGATGGAACTGAGGCAATCAATGCTCTTAGGGGAATGAGTGGAAGGGCTGCTGCTTGGTAGGGCTCCCATCGTTATTTGGAGAAATGGAGAGGGAAAGCATGGGTCTGGCTAAATCTCTTGGGCAAGATCCTTCTCTGAGGCCACAGTTGCATTTCTAAAACTCTCCCCCGCTCTCATGAGTGATGCTCACAGCTTAGAAGCTGTAAACTGCTGAACTTCAGTAGCCAAGGAAATGGGTTTCGTTCATTCAACAAATATTTATTCAGGGCCTCCTCTGGGAAGGGACTCTCTTCTAGGCAGTCGGGCATAAAAAATAAGTCAAAGTCCTGGTGCTTATGGTGCCTATTACCTTGGGACTTTCCCAAGGAGATATGGCTACTGGTGGGGGGAAAAGATACAAAAAAGTTAAACAAACAATATACAGTCAGAGAACAATAGTACAAAGGAGAAAAGGAAGCAAAGGAAGGGAATGGAGATGTGGATCGTCAGGGAAGGCTTCAGAAAAAGTGACATGCCAGGGAGCGAGACACAGAGACATATGGGAGAAGACAGCTAGAGTTAAAAGAAAAAAACAGGTGCAAAGGCACTGAGGTGAGGACAGATTTGGTGAGTTTGTGGAACAGAAAGAAGGCCAGTGTGGAGAGTGGTAGGAGGGAACATTGGGGAGATTACACAGAGTCACATAAGGTAGGGCCTTGTTGGCTAAGATAAGAAGCTTAATCTCATCTTACTGTGGGTGTACTGGAAAGTCATTGGAGAGTTTTGAGCAGGGACAGTGAGTGACCTGATCTGATTTCTTTATAAAATGTGGCAGTGTTGCCGAAACTGGTTTGGCTCAGTGGAGAGAGAGTCAGCCTGCAGACTGAAAGGTCCTGGGTTCGATTCCAGTCAAGGGCATGTACCTTGGTTGCGGGCACATCCCCAGTAGGGGGTGTGCAAAAGGCAGCTGATCCATGTTTCTCTCTCATGGATGTTTCTAATTCTCTATTCCTCTCTCTTCCTCTCTGTAAAAAAATCAATAAAATACAAAAAAAAAAAAAAAAAAGTGGCAGTGTTTAACTTGGGGGTTTAAGAATGGAAGCCCAATTAGAAGGCTCTCACTGTGGTTCCTGTGAGAGATAATGGTGATCAGGAGTAGAGGTGACCAGAAGTGTCGAGAGAGAGAGAGAGAGAGAGAAGAGAAGAGAAAGAGAGAGAGAGAGAGAGAGAGAGAGAGAGAGAGAGAGAGAGAGAGAGAGAGAGAGAGAGAGAGAGAGAGAGAGAGAGAGAGATATGGGGCTGGTAGGACTCATTAATGGATTCGATGTGAGGCTGCAGGTTTTTTATTTTTATTTTTTTCTGGGTAATGAGGTTGATGGCTGATGGTGCCGTTTAGGAAGTGGGGGTGGGGATACTGCAGTTTGAGAAGCCATGTTCTTCTCCTCAGGTGCATGTGTAAAGTGTCAGGTTTGAGATTGAGATTGTATGCAGGAACGTGATTATAATAACGGGCAGGTAAGATTTCAGGATAAAGAGAGAAGCAAGTGGTGATGGACAGTGAACAAAGGTAAGACTAATGTATTGGCAGCTCCAAACTCAGCTGAAGAGATTGTTGGAGTGGAAATTCTAGAGTTAGTGATCTAGAAGGATGGGAAGTGGTAGGCAGGGGATGGAATATTTGAGATGAAGATTTTTGGAGGCGGTATAAGCTTTCCATAATGATGAGATCTGGGATATAACCAGGGGAGGGGGTGGCAGAGGAGGGGTAAAAAGAAAAAAGTCAATGGAATGGAATGAATGGACCAACATGGATCAAGATGCCACAGGTGTTGTTTGTGTTGCAGAACAAGATTGTGGACCAGTGTGAGAGGCTGCAGTTACAGAGTGCTGGCATCACCAAGTACATGGCTGAGGTCCTACCAGAGAAGAACCAGAGAGCAGTGGTAGGTAATTCCTCCCTTCCCCCCTCTCCAAGGATCAGACCCCCGCCTTAGGGGCTTGACCCAGTCTAGGTCCCTTCCTAACCTCGCTAACTCATTGTGCTATAGCACAATGCTCAACACCCAGGAGGGATGGATTTTCCTCTCTCTGAGTCTTGGTTTTACCATCTGGGCAGAGTTGCACACTAGTGCAAAGACTTTTTCAGGGTCAGGGATCAGGAAGGATAGCATTTTTCTAACATCTAATTATTTTGTGCACAGCCCCAGAATTATCAAATAACCTAGGGGCTTGAATGTTGAATATTCTTTATCATAGTCCTATGCAGAAGGTGGCAGTAACATCCCTGTTTACAGATGGTCAATTGACTTGACCAGGGTCCCACATCCTCCTGCCAGAGTCAGTTCTATGACCTGGATCTTCTGACTCTGCAGCCAGTGCTCCTTCTGCTGCATCACACTGCTGATCCTTGTGACTCATGGCCACACCTACATCTCTCAAGTATGCTTTTCAAGGGCAGGGGCTATGAATTTCTTCCTCCCTCATACTCCCCCATAGCAGTACATGAGAATGGACCATTGGATTTAGTAACATGCACAGTATTGAAGATCCTGACAAGAGGGATTTTGTAGAGTGGTGGGGCGAAAGCCTGATTGGAGTGAGTTTCGGAGAGTAATTTGGGATAGTTAACACAGGTAACTCTTGAGCTGGGCTGTAGAGGGGAGCTGACAAATGGGATGATACTGAAGAGAGAGAAGAGGTCAATGCAGTTTTTTTGTTTATTATCTTTTTAAGATGGGAGAAGTTACTTTATGTGTGTATGCTGATCGGAACTTTCCAGTAGAAAGGGGAAAATTAGTGATGCAAGAGAAAGAGGAAAATTGGGTACAGCCAAGGTGGGGGGGGGGGGATCTAGTAAACAAGTGGAAAGGTTGGTTGTAGGTAAAAGCTGGGTTTTTCATCCCCAGAAACAGAGAAGGTGGAGTGAGCACAGGTGCAGGTGGATGGTTAGGTGATGGGCAGACCTTGTGGGAGTTCTCTTCTGCTTGCTTCTATTTTCCATTACTTACCACCTTTCCTGTAGGCTCTTAAGGGTGTCATTTGTCAGTTTATAGATATGTTTTGTTCTCCATCATCTATTTATATGATAACACATTAATAGAGTTTCTAATGCTAAGCCATTCTTGAATTCCTGGGGAAAACCAACTTAACTTGGTTATAATATAAATATTTTTTAACTTTTAATTTTGAGATCACTATAGATTAGCATACAATGTTAACATCTTTCCTAACTATGGTAGAATGTCATAACCTGGAAATTGACATTAATACAGCTCACTCTTTCAGATTTTACCAGTTTTACACCAATTCATTTCTGTGTGAGTTGTATCATATGTATAGATTCATGTGACTTCCACCACATTTGAGGTACAGAATAATTCCGACATAAGGATCCCTTAGTATAGCTTTCTAAAAAGCATTTTGCGTCTCTGCTCAGGAATGAGTCCAGCCTATGAGTTTCATTTCTTATATTGTCCTTATCAGATTTTCTTATCGAAGTTATATAATCCTTATTCAATGGGTTGGGAAACAGAACTCTCTATTTTCACTGGAGGAGTTTGTATAAGATTGGAATTACCTGGGCCTTGAATGTTTGTAAAACTATCAAGGCCTGCTGGTATTTTGTTGGTAGGGGTTGGGAAATTGGATCTTCTAACTCTGCAGCCAGTGCTCCTTTAACTACTGATTCATTTTTCATCATAATGACAGGATTTTTCCTGTTCTGTTTTCTTTTTCTTTGGTTTTAGTAAATTCTTTCTGGAAAAATTATTCCTTTCTCTGTTATTGAATTTAAATGCATAAAATTGTTGTTAATGTTGATAAAGTTGTCACAGGTTTGTCTATCATGTTAGTCTTCAAAGAACCAACTTTTAGTATTTTAATTCTCTCTTTTATATCTTTAAAAAAAAATATTATATCGCCCAGCTGGCGTGGCTCAGTGGTTGAGCGTCGACCTAAAAACCAGGAGGTCAGGGTTCATTTCCTGGTCAAGGCACATGCCCAGGTTTCAGGCTCAATCCTCAGTAGGGGGTGTGCAGGAGATAGCTAATCAGTGATTATCTCTCATCATTGATCTTTCTGTCTCTCTCTCCCTCTCCCTTCCTTTTTGAAATCAATACAAATATGTAAAAAAATAAAAATTTATATCCTATCTTTATAATTTTTCCATTTATTATTTATTTTTAAAATATATTTTCATTGATTTCAGAGCAGATAGGGAGAGAGAGATAGAAACATCAATGGTGAGAAAAATGTCCCCCACTGGGGACTGAGCCCACAACCGGAGTATTTGCTCTGACCAGGAATCAAAACATGACCTCCTTGCTGAAACTGGTTTGGCTCAGTGGATAGAGCATTGGCCTGAAGACTAACGGGTCCCAGGTTTGCTTCAGGTCAAGGGCATGTACCTTGGTTGAAGGCGCATCCCCAGTGGGGGGTGTGCAGGAGGCAGCTGATCAATGTTTCTAGCTCTCTATCCTTCTCCCTTCCTCTCTGTAAAAAAAAAAAATCAATAAAATATATATTTTTAAAAATGTGACCTCCTGGGTCATAGGTCAATGGTGAACTTCTGAGCCTTACCAGCCAGGCTATAAGGTTTTTCTTTTAATTTTTTTTTTTTTTTTTACATACTTTGTTTTTTAACTTACTGAGTTGAACAGTCTGTCATTTTCGTTTTTCTTATTTCTTAAGGTGAGCATTTAAACCATATAGTACCTTTTAGATGTTGATATAGGTACATCCCACAAATTTGATGTACTTGCATTCAGTTACAAGTATTTTTAAATTACCACTATGATTTTTTCTTTCACTATGAGTTATTAGAAATAGGTTTTTAAATATCCAAGTATATGGTTTTATTCTTTACATTATCATCATTTTTTAAATTAATTTCTAACTTAACTGTATTGTAATCTGTATGACATCAATTGTTTGAAATTTGTTGGGACTTGCTTCATGACCTAAAACATTATCAATTTAGGTGAGCATTTCATATTGACTTGAAAAAATATATAGGGTTCTATATGTGTCTACTAATTAAGCTTATTAATTGGATCAAATCATCTCTGTACTAAATTTTTATCTATCAGATTTATTGATTACTGGCAAAAGGCATTTATTTACATTTTCATAACATGCTATGGACTTGTCCAGTTTTCTTTATGATTCTGTCAACTATTCTTTTTATATGTTGGTGCTATTTATGAAATGTGTATTTATGAAATGTATATTTATAAAATATATACCTAATATTTAGATTAGGTATATATTCTTGGTAAACCATTCCTTTATCACTTTATAGTGACCTTGTATGCCCTTGCATGATGGTTTAGATGAGTATAAAATTCTAAAGCAAATCCCAAGCCTAACCCAAGGCAACTGAATCTTCAGCTCCTGATTGCACTGGTTTCCTGTTTCCTTTCTACTTTTGGACTTCAGGTTATTTCCTTTAATTAGCTGCCAACGCAGCTTCACTTTTTAAAGGATGCTTTGGGTTATTTTTCCAGCGTTTCTGTGTTGTAGGAGAGTTTTTCGTTTACTCTGTCATATCTTCAGAGAGGGAAGCTTTTTTCCTTTGCTATTCATTTCAGGGAATGACTCAAGAAAGGTGATGGAATTGATTGCCATCTTCTACTCAGGGAGTATCTGATGTCTCTTGGGTCAGGGTCTGTTCTTGATCCTGATCACATGGTATAAACACAGCTGCAGAGACTCGGCACTGTGGGCATCGAAGTGGGAAAAGGGAAGAACAATTGCCGATGTTCCTGAGCCCTCAGGTGCCAGCTTTGTTCTATTTGTTTTACGTGTGTTAACTCACTTAATCCTCACAACAGGCTTATGCGGTATCATCCTCAGTTGACAGATTAGAAAACTGAGGCATAGGGATGTTAAGAAATGTGATTAAAGTTCCTCATATATAATAATAAATGGAGCAGCCAAGATTTAAACTTTGGAACTGTCTTCAAAACCTAATTTCCCAACCCCTATGTCACATTGCTTTATGAGAACACTGAAGTGGAATCTGAACTCCCAGATTCACTGGACTGTACATTTAGCCACTCCCTTTTCCCCATTGGGCAAATTATGGGTCTCAGTTTCTTCTGTTAAACAGGCATAATTATCATCTGCACTGTACAAAGCAGGTCTTCAGGGACAGGACACACGGAAGCTGTTGGCTATCTCTGACCTTGGCATGGAGACTGTCCTCCTCTCACTTCATGCAGCAGATACCTTTGGGTAGGACTGATTCCCAGATGGCAGTGGTGTAGGGGGATAGTGTTGGACCGAAAGTCAAGAGAACTGCGTTCTAATCCCAACTCTGTCACTGACTTAGTATGTGAGTGCTATCAAGAGATTTTTGACTAAGTTGGGGAAAAATTTCCTATCAGTCATTCCGTAAATGTTTGAGTGCCTACTATGTGGCAGACACTGTGCTAGTTGCTGGGAGATACACATTAACTTTATTGGCTGAAAACTGATTTCAGGCATCCTATGTGGCAGAAAAGAATTCTACCATGGAAGCAGTTGGAATGAACAATTAGGAAATAAAAACGTTTTTGTTTTTAGACATGGTTAAAAATATCAACTGGACCACTGTTGGTACAGATCCTATTGATGGGGATGACCTTGTTCTGTAATTCTATGACCTCTGACCTTGGTCCCTTGGCCTTGGTATTCCCATCTGTGAAATAAGCAGGTGACTCTAGTTGATCTCTAGGCCCTGCCCATCTCTTCCATTCTGGGAACCTGGTCCTGCGAGATATAGCCTGGATGTCTGGATTTCACATTTCTTCACCCTAAACCATATTTGGGAACTCTTAGGGCTGGGATGGCTTAAGCACTGTCACTGCCATTACAGAGCCTATGGCAGACATTGCTGATCAATTTTTGGCACTCCTTTGGGCTGTGCCCAAACCCTCGTAATCTTTTTATTTTATTTTATTTTATTTTATATAATATATTTTTTATTGATTTCAGAGATGAAGAGAGAGGAAGAGAAAGAAACATCAATGATGAGAGAGAATCAGCTGCCTCCTGCACGCCCTCTACTGGGGATTGAGCCTGCAACTTGGGCATGTGCCCTTGACCGGAATTGAACCCAGGACCCTTCAGTCTGCAGACTGACAGACATACAAGCCAGATCAGCTAGGGCAAAACCCTCCTAATCTTGAATGGGGCTTTGTCAGGATCTGACTCTTCCTTTTTTATCCCCTTCTAGAGCATGGCCAGTGCAGCACGGGAACTGGTCATCCAGCGGCTGGGCCTGGTGAGGAGTCTATGTGAGACTGAGGAGCAGCGGTTGCTGGAACGGGTGCATGGCGAAGAGGAGCGGGCGCACCAGAGCATCCTGACGCAGCGAGTGCACTGGACTGAGGCTTTGCAGAAGCTCGACACCATCCGCACCAGCCTGGTGGACATGCTCACCCATACGGATGACCTCCAGTTGATTGTAAGTCAGGCAAGGGTTGAGGCATGACCTATTGGCCAAAAAGTCTGAAAACATGGAGAGTGTTTGTTGGTTGGAGGTGGGTGGTTAATGGTAATTTGAAGCAGGGATGAGTCAGGAGAATAAAATTATAGATTTTTAGAAATATATTTTTAATGACATTCCTGGGAGCTAGGGATCCCACAAGCCAAACTTAAGGGGGTCAGGGAAGGCCTCCTGGGTCAAGTGACTTAGAAGCTAATGCCTGAAAGATAAGAGTTGCAATTGTGTTAAAGGAAGTGGGGAGGTGGAGCGATAACTCCATACCTAAAAAATTGACAAGGAGTCCAATATGAAAACATACAGCTCATCTTTAAATCCTACCATCTAGAAATTACTATGATTAATATTTCGGTACCTATCCTTTCCAAGTACTGGTATTTTATACGGCTATCCAGATATCTGCAGTTTTAAGGGACATTGTGACATCTGAATAAATATGCCAGGCAGAGGAATGAGAATGTAGAACAACTGAGCTATCTGTACCACTGCAGTTCAAGTAGGACAGTTTCCATGACTGCCCTAGATTGTGCATTCAGTCAGTCACACAGCTTCCATGGACAGAGCACATTCTGTCCCAAACACTGGGACAGTCACAAAGAAAGAGTCAGAAAGGGTCCCAGCCATCTCGTTGCTGACAGTCTTGACCGGGGATGAAATGTTGGGTATATAGGTCCTCAGTTTCCTTCACCTACACCATGGGGCACGGGGGGAAGAGTGATTCATTCTGAATGGGGGGTGGGAGGTATGCGAGGAACCCATGCAGCTTTGTGCTTTGTCTTAAAGAAGGAGTAGAATTTTTTATCCTAGAGTCTCCGTCCCCATGGAGCCCTCCACGTCAGTTGCATCTATTCAGATCTTGACTGCCTGCTGGGTTTCTGGTGCCAAGCCTGATCCTGTTTTCTTTCCTCACAGCAGAAGGAGCAGGAGATTTTTGAGAGGTGAGTATGGTCCCTGGTTTGCTTGGGCAGCCATGGAAACCATGGCCTTCGGGCCTCTGAATAGTTCACCGCCTTCAGGCTCCGCTGCTCCGGGGGAAAGCCCAGGGTGTGCGGCTGTGAGTGCTTCTCTGGAGCCAGGCTCGATGGACAGGTGCATGGCGAAGAGGAGCGGGCGCACCAGAGCACCCTTGCGTGGAGAACTGCTTTAGACCCATGTGTAAGGGAGTGAAATACTTACTGATTAACCCGGGGCTCGCCACACTCCTACATTATCCCATTAAAAACGGTACAGTCGCCCTGTTGGAGGGCATTACCAGCCCATCTACACATGCGAATGCTGAGGCTCAGCGAGGGGAAGGGACTTGCCCAAGCTCCAGAGCTGGGACTGGGACCCACACCTGACACCTGTCGCAGGATTGCCTCCTCAACTTTGCATTTTAATTATGCAATATGAAAAGAATTTCACCAGGCCCTCCCTAGGTACCAAAAGGCTGGGAATCAAGAGCCTGAGGAAATGGCTGAAAGGATGTAAATTGCCAGGCAAAGATATTGAATTCTTAATCTGTGCAAGCTTTCAGAGCGGTACTTGAGGAGCACCACCCATTCTTCTTACCTATATTTGTATTTAAGTTTCAATAGCAATACATATGTATGAGAGACAGAAAAGAAGTCTGCCAATATAGAACTATTCAAATTAAAAATGAGTCATCTCTTCCCAACCTCATTTTCTAGAGGTGATCAGTTTTAATAGTTGTATGTTTTTGGGACTTTCCTGTGTATAATTATAGGAGAACTTTTGCCTCCTTAAAAAATATTTTTTAAAAATAAAGATGGGATCATTTTTATACTTGCTGTTCTATTAATTTATCAGACTAATTTGGAATCTTTCCACGTGAGTACATGTAGATAGATTTACTTCACTTTTCAGAAAGCCTGTGAAGTATTCCACAGTATGGATGCACCACATTCATCTTACTGTCTGTCTCCTTTTATTTTTTTAAATATACATTTTTATTAAGTATATTTTCAGAGAGAGGGAAGGAGAAGGAGAGATAGAAACATCAAAGATAAAGATAAATTGATTGGCTGCCTCCTGCACACCCCACACTGGGGATCGAGCCTGCAACCCAGGCATGTGCATTGATTGGGAATCAACCTGTAACCTCCTGATTCATAGGTTGACACTCAACCACTGAGCTACACCGTCCAGGTTTCTGTCTCCTTTTTTTTTTGTTTGTGGCAGCTTTTTTTTTTTTTTTTTAATATATTTATTGATTTTTTTTACAGAGATGAAGGGAGAGGGATAGAGAGTCAGAAACATGGATGAGAGAGAAACATTGATCAGCTGCCTCCTGCACACTCATCACTGGGGATGTGCCCACAACCAAGGTACATGCCTTTGACCAGAATTGAACTTGGGACCCTTTAGTCTTCAGGCTGACACTATCCACTGAGCCAAACTGGCCAGGTTTCTGTCTCCTTTTAATGTGTATTTGGCTTGTTCCTACTTTTTCCCTCCTATAATCTTCCCACATTTCTGCTAGTCTTCTCTTTTTTCTCTGTCTTTACCATCTTCCTCTAATACAGTCAGTCTGTCTGCAATATCAAGTTGATGTGATTTTTGAAAAAAATTTTGATCTTTGAAATTTTTGTTTTGAATATTTTTAACTCAGAAAAGTTAGAATAAGTATTATAATGACCTTTGCCTAGAAATACTAATTGTATTAACATTTTGCCATGTTTGCTCTTCCTCACTGTCTCTTTTTTCCTATCTGTCAAGATGATTGCTCCTCTGTACTAGCACAGTATCTTTTTTTAAAAAATTATAACCCGGCCAGTGTGTCTTCAGCATTTATCTCCTAAGAACAAAGACATTCTCTTACATAACCACAGTATAATTATCAAGTTCAGCAATTTAATGTTGGTATAATACTATAATCTAATACATTAGTACAGTCTATCCAAATCTATAGCCAATTGTACCAAAAAAAGGTTCTTAACAGTGTTTAGTGGTTTCTTTTTGTTGGGTCGTCCTCTTCCCCCTCCCACTCTCCCCCACCCCCATCCCTATTCTGTCCCCGTCCATCTGTTCTCTTTTAATCTAAAATTGTTCCTTCATTTTTTAAAAAAAGAGAACATTTTTAATGAGTCTAGGATAGTTGTTTTGTAGAACATTCCTCAATTTGATGGGGATGTTACCTCATGATTGGGTTCAGGTTATGCATTTTTGGCAAGAATATCTCAGAAGTGATGTGTTCTCATTCTGTCAAATCAGAGGGCACATGATGTCACTGTGTCCCATTATCAGGGATGTCAGTTTTGATCACATGGATGAAATGGTGCCTACCAGTTTTCTTCATTATAAAGCTGTATCTTTACTTTTGTAATGAATAAGCAATGTGAGGGGGTGCATTTTGTATAAATAGCCTCTTTACACCTTCAAATATTATCCCATATTTTAGTTTGCATTGATGCTAAATTCCCGAATTATTCACTTATTTGCTTGTTTGTCCATTCATTTATTTAGTGTAAATAAAGACTTGTGAATTTTTTTTTATTCAGTGCATTAATCTAATACTACTACTACTATTACTAATTTTGGTCTTCAAACTGTCCTAGATTTGGCCAGTTTTAGTTCCTTGGGGCTGGATCCTGGGTCCTTTTGAATAAAGTCCCCATTATTTATTTTTTTAAAATAAGTATATTTGTATTGATTTCAAAGAGGAAGAGAGAGGAAGAGAGAAATAGAAACATCAATGATGAGAGAGAATCATTAATCATCTGCTTACTGCATGCCCCACACTGTGGACCGAGACCACAACTGGGCATGTGCCCTGACCGGGAATTGAATGGTTCATAGGTGGACACAACTACCGAGTCACGCGACTGGCCCCATCATTCTCTGAGTACTTTCTTGTGACACAGCACAACACAATGTCCCAGGATCACCTTGTTCTTTTCTTGCCTCAGGCCTGGAACCAGCTGTTTCTCCAGGGACTCTCTGTTCCTTGTAGTGGGGAGTGGTATTTAAAAACTGAGATCTGGGCAGTAGATGTGCATTGCTGCCAATGCATCATTGCTTCCAGGCCTTCTCAGTAGACAGCAGACAGAGCTGGGAAGTGAGAGTGGTCTTTTTATTCACGAGTTTGTATTACAAACTCTAATTCCAAGGGAACGCCACAGCATTTTTCCTTTGATTTCTCCCATTCTACATTCATATATTTCTTTTTCCACAGTGAGAACCTTGGCACCCAACAACAGCAATATAGCCATTCATTTGTTTGGTCCTATAATACACGCAGAGTTTGAGAAGTGCTTAAACAAAATACTACTGGCAGCCCTAGCCAGTCTGGGTCAGTGGATAGAGCGTCAGCCTGCGGACTGAGGGGTCCCAGGTTTGATTCCGGTCAGGGGCATATGCTGGGTGCGGGTCCATCCCGAGTAGGGGGTGTGCAGGAGGCAGCCGATCAATGAGTCTCTCTCATTATTGATGTTTCTGTCTCTCTCTCCCTCTCCCTTCCTCTTCGAAATCAATAAAAATATATTTAGAAAAAAAAATACTACTGGCAAACCCATTCGTAGAAATCAAGATTTATTTGCGATACCTTGTGCCTTTAAACTGAGGGTGTGGACTCTCAAAGAAAGCACTTTTGTGTTCAAAAGTTGACAAGCACCTTCTAGCTGGGAACTCACTTTTCTGAGAAATGCCTTTTTTTGGATCTAATTTTGTTTTCACATGCCCGGCTGGTTCAGCTGCAGCCTGTCATGGCAACAGGTCCTGCTGCACAGACCAGGCCTTCTGGTCCCAGCCAGGTCCCTGCTGTGTGCGAACCCCAACTCACTACCACGAATTTTCTCTTCTGTACCAAAAGGCACATGCGCCAGCTGATCTTCTAGATTCTGGTGCCTATGATTGGCCTCAGATTTGCCCTGGGATGATGGCTTAGCAATGCAGACACTGGTCCTCTTTCCTCCCCACCTGACGGCGGGGGTCCCTATAGACCCAGCCTCACTGCTTTGAGAAGAGGCATCAGGCCCTCTGTTGTCCTGACCACAAAGAGCCTTTGTTACTAGAGCCTGTTCTGAGCTTTCCTAGGGCTCTGCTTACCTCGCTCTTCCCAAGCCAGGATAGTCAGCGACAGTTTTGCAAAGGACAGGCATCCATGAGACATGGCCCACCCTTCCCTCTCCTTCATTAATGGGCAGAGCTGGGGATTTGGGGCAGACAGTGTATACTCTCGGAACTGCTGCCTGATCTCAGAGCCATCCTCAGGATTAGAGGCAGTGGGAAGTTCTTTCTCAGAACTCAATCCAAAAGGCTGCAGAGCTCTTGGCGAATCCCCACTTTGCTCTATACCCTTTGAGACTTCACTTCTGGTCAAGGAAAGAATTATGTTGAATGGTGCCTGCAGGTAGGACTTAAATCAGCTCCCCGTTTTAGCTGAGTGTCTTCTCTGTTCTCGCCTGTCAAGTGGGTAACAAGTACCTCCCAGGTGATACCAAAGATGACGTGAGATTCTGTACAGAAAGGAACAAGCCCAGAGCCTTGCTGCTTAATAAGTGGCAGTTCTCCTCGTTCCCAAATGCTCTCTGCAACCAAACCCAGTCCCCGGCCATGAGCGGAGGAGAGGTAGTTACTGGGAGCAAAGTGCTGTGGATAATTTATGATTGGGTAAATAGCTGATAGTCCCTTCCTGTGAGACCCCACAGGGGTGTTGGCATTTTAAGAGCAGAGGAGTTGGCTGTGCCAGCTAATCAAACCGAGGGCAGCATTACGGCTGAATTTGGTTTGGAGGGAGGTGAGACTTTCTCTGGGCGGGAAGGTGGAGCGGGAAGACTGCTGCACTGAGGCCCACGGGGCCCAAGTCCTAACCCCGGCTCTGCCCAGGACCAGATCCTTGGATGAGTAGCCTCGGCCCAGAGCAGAATGACTCCAAGTTATGACACTGGCGCCAAGCAGTTACCACCCCGTCAATCATCTGCCTTGCATAATTAAGGCTTGGGGGAGTGGAGGGTGCACAGGGGGGAATGTCCACCTTCCCTTTGGCCCCAGCCCCCTGTAGGCAGCTCCTGACTGGGGCTGGTTGTCAATCTTGGTGTCACCCTTGTAGGAAGAGGATTTTCTGCCACCTCATCTCCCCACCCCCACCCCCAATCAGATACATTTGACCCAGAAACGTTTCCAGAACCTTTCTGAATCTGTTTTGTTTTCTTTCTTACAAGGACCGAGGAAGCAGAGGGCATTTTGGATCCCCAGGAGTCGAAAAAGTTAAACTTTAACGAGACCTGTGCTTGGAGCCCACTTCTGACCCAGCTCTGGGCAACGGCAGCTCTCGGCTCCCTCTCAGGTTAGAAGCTTGAGCCCGGCACCTGTTGGAGCAACGGGGCACCTGTCTGTCTGTCTGTCTGTGGTTTGCTGTGGCCAACACCGGGGACCGGTGCATTCGGGATGGTAGCTTAGGCAACCAGTGATACCGGGTGCAGGTTTGTCAATGGAGCCAAGGTTCTGGAAACGCCTGGGGCACCTGGGCCAGGTCTTTTGCATTTGCAAACCCACCTGCTCTGTAGCTGGGTTTAGGGTCAATCTTGTTCTGGTAAATTACGTCCTCCTCATGCCCTGCCCTACTGAGACAGCTCAGTATTATTTCTTGGGAACCTGGTTTCTCTTTAAGAAGATATGTAATTGATGGCCAACTGGGATCGAGAATTGAGCTTCCTGGATTTGTCTTACTTACCAAACATTGACTTAGGCTGACTGTGGACCTGACCTTGTGTTGCATGCTGCGGCCACAGAGGTGAAGGCGACACGGTCTCCTGCCTCCACAAATTTCCACTTAGTATGGGGGTTCTCAAAGCAGGCTTCTTCCAAGCCAGATAGAAGTGTCCATTCTCCCAGTTGCGGTAGTTGCACAATTCACAGACTTAGGTTAATTAGTGAATTGACATTTTTCTCCATTTTAACCCTCACTACCTTCCAGTGGCGAGGGTTCCCATTCCCCATTCTCCTTAAAATGCTAGTACATATTCTCTAGAGTCGGGTGTCAAATATTATCTGGTTTGCCGGCAGTCCCATGGAGTTAGTTGTTGGAAACTGCATCCCTGATGCTTCCCAGCTTCCAGGGGCATGGTGTCCCCAGGACAGGACTGATCTGGAAGCTGCAAATTTGCCCAGCTGGAAGGCAGTATGATCAGTGCTAGATGCTCGATGTAGGAACAATGTGCTGGGTCTTAATTTTGTCCCTGCCACCAACTTTGCGTGTGACCTTGGGCAATTCGCTTCTCTAGGCCTTATTTCTACCAGAGTTTACAAATAGTAATAACTACTGTTATGACCACAATTTATTGAGCACATACTTTCCATGTGTCATCTCGTTTGATCCTTACATCTGTCCTGTGGTAAGTCCTATTTTGATCCCCATTTTACAGATGAGGAAACTGAGGCTCAGACAGTAAATGGCTTGCCTGAGGTCACACTGCCAGGGAGTGATAAGGAAGCAGGGTCAGGGTAGGGCTGGGGGTGGACCTTGGTAACTCTGAGATTCTTTCTGGCAGGCACAGAGGATGTGCGCATCGATGAGAGGACTGTCAGCCCCTTCCTGCAACTGTCAGACGATGGAAGGACTCTGACCTTCAACGCCAAGAAGTCCAAGGCCTGCGCAGATGGCCCAGAGCGCTTTGACCACTGGCCCAATGCCCTGGCCGCCACCTCCTTCCAGTCCGGGCTGCACGCGTGGATGGTGAATGTGCAGAACAGTGGTGCCTACAAGGTGGGCGTGGCCTTAGGCCAGCTGCCTCGAAAGGGTTCTGGCAGTGACTCTCGCCTGGGCCACAACGCCTACTCCTGGGTCTTCTCCCGCTATGACCAAGAGTTCTGCTTCTCACACGACGGGCAGCACGAGCCCCTGGGGCTGCTGCGCTGCCCCGCACAGCTGGGCGTGCTGCTGGACTTGCAGGCCCAGGAGCTGCTGTTCTACGATCCGGCCTCGGGCACGGTGCTCCACACCCACCACGCGTCCTTCCCGGGGCCCCTCTTCCCAGTCTTCGCTGTGGCTGACCAGACCATTTCCATTGTCCACTGACCTTCGGCACTGGGGAGGCTAGATCTGCCTGCCCACCATCCTTTTAGGCCACATTTCTACCCAATATCCTTTCCCCAAATGCTGCCCATGCCCACCGGGCAGCTTTAGGAGGGGTAGGATCCACTTCAGATCTGGTACAACCATTAAATGCTGTACCTGTGCGGAACCTGCCACTCCCTCAGCCTTAGTCTCCCAAATTCACCCTCTAAGGGTGTCTTGTTCACCACTTTATCTCTGGCATCCAGCATGGTGCCTGGTGAGCGTGCAATAAATAATTGGCAAGCGAACAGGTGCATGGACGGACTGACGGACGGACAGACGGGTGGATGGGTGCATGTGGAAAAGCACTGCCTTTCAGTCCCCTACCCCCAGCTCTAAGCATGTAGAAGTGGTTTTCTGGCAGAAAAGCCTGTGACTGAAGTCCTTTCGTCTCAATTGAGTGCTTCCCATGACACGACACATAAGGAAAATATTTTTCTAGCACACAAGGACAACCTGGAAGGGACCTGGAACTCCTGCCAGCTGCTCCCGGTCAGAGGACCCTGGCCAGATGTGCCCTAACCAGGGTCTACCTGGCTACTCGGAAGATCGAGGAAATCCTGTCTCCAGGTAACCTGACTGCAACACACCCATCTGCAGCTCTGCCTTAGACCTGGCAGCTGGACTCCAGCCTGTGCCCACTGCGGTAACTGGGATTAACTTTTCGCCAGCTGCAGCTGATGAGTGCCCTGCCTGATGGCCCCTTCTGACATAATGTGGGGATCTGGGGTGAGAACCCTTGAGTCAGAAAGAGCTGAGGGGGTAAGAGGGCCAGCCTTAGAAAACATGTACTTTATTAAAGGTTTTAAAAGATCGACAGTTTTCTTCCATGTTCTTTTCCTGGTTAATTGGGTAACACCCTACCCCTTCTACCCCCCAAGGGCCAGTTCAAATATTAGAGGTGTGTTTACTGGAAATTTGATGTCTTCCTCATTCATGTTCTCAGATATAAGCAGGTGGCTGAGGTCAGCATACACACCCTAAAGGGCCTGGAGCTGGTTCTGTGCCCTGCGCTGCTGGGACCCAGGGCAAGTCTTTTTCTGATCTTGAAGGAGGTCACATTAAAGCACTAGTCCTCCCACTTTTGTTTCTTTGGGGAATAGTTCAAAGGCTATCTTAACTACAACTTCAGGCTCCTGGGCTCAAAGGTGAGGCCAGAGCCCTCCCCACCAAGTTTGCTCAATAATCTACTTGAAACACGGGGTGGATCAAATCCAGTCCGCAGACCTATTGGCAACTATTATGACTGCAATGACAGTTCTGAGACCCTTATGGCTTTGAGACCACAGCTCATGACCCTGTCCTCTCTGCCTGACACTCGGGAAGGTGTCTGAGAAGAGCTTTCCTGCCTCCAAACCTGGGTGAATGTCAGATTCTTGTAGAAGGCACCCGAAGGCCCTTACACCACACTCCCCAAATCACCACTCTACTCCCCATAGCAGCCCTCAGTCCACAGTTCACGGGCCTGCCACCAGGGATTCCTCATTCTGCCCATCTGAATGCCAGTCCCAGTTCAGAGACCACTCCAGAGCTTCCCCTGGCTGTTGGCACTAGAACATAATGTAACGTGCCCATCTATGTGCTTTTCACCTGTGGTACCCCCTGGTCCAGTAAATACCAAGTAGAGAGTTGTGTGAAGAGGGAGAGGCAGGAAGAGACATGGGATTTTTAAAACCTTCAATTTCTAGTAATTCTCCCCACATTACTCGCCTGCCACCTTGAGCTCTGGTCCCTGTCCCTGCATAACCCCCTATGACTGGGGTGTCCTTAAAGGACATCCTTTAGGTCACCTTCCCTATTCTTCTAGCATCTCTACTGCATTATGTCTCGTGTAACATGAATCCCTTTCTACTTGCAAACTAGTGGTCAAGCCAATGAATGGGCTTTGGAGTTAGGCATACCCAAACTGGAACCCTGGCTCCCTCATGTACTAGCTGTGACCTCAGGCAGGCTACTTAACCTCTGGATCTAGTGTCAAATGGAAGTCCTACTACTTAAGCCCACTAGGTAGCTTTGAGGGTTCTATATGCACATCAAGGACTAGCAGAGTACCTACCACATGGAGGAGGTGTGTGTTTTGGGGGTGTGTGGGTCAAGTTTCTTCTCCACTATGATTATGGTGTTGTCTAAAATCTGATTAAACTATGTGGTCTTAGAGGACATGTCCGTAAGCACAGCTTAGCACCCTGATTTTCAAATTAAGCTTCTCTGACCTTAGACTTTGCAGGTGGGGGAAGTTGTAGAGGCTTCAGGGCCTGAATGAGGGGTCCTAGGACCTTCGCTTCACTCTTGCAGTGTCTTTTTTTCCCGTTTTGCACATTGGGGTTCCACATAAGATCTCCCACGACAAAAGGACTCTGCTGCTAAAACCAAGTTTCAAGATACCTGATTTTGAAGCTAGCTGGGCCCTTGGTGAATCTTGTTGGAGGTGAGGCAGGTTTGTGGAAAAGGGACGTAGGTGTGATGAATGAACCATCTCAGAGACCAGGAGCTGATTAGTGGGCAGGGCTAAAAGCCTCACTCATTGCTTTATAGTCAGAATGCATTATGGCGTCTGCAGGGAGGGGGTAAAGATCAGATCTTGGGAAGGAAAGGACTTCCTGTCTGTAATGTTCGTTGGGCCCAGCCACTTCCCTCACCAGACTCACAGCCCTCTGGTTGAGTGCTCCAGGCGGTTAAGGGCAGGCAGGAGGTGGGGCAGTGAGGGGAGAATATGTTCTTGGGGTACAGAATCTTTGACCTCAGGGTCCAAAGGCCCTGGGCCAACTACTAGAAAGCTGTGCATGCCTGCAGCCCGTGCCCCCTTATAATCGTGGCGATAGCTATCCCCGATATGGGCTGCCACTGCTGGTTCTACATGAGCTAGCCGCAAGGCCTCATGGAAAATGCGGGGGTCCGGCTTGCACCAGCCAGTAGTCCCAGAGGTCAGCACAAAGTCAAAATGTTCCCGCAAATTGAGACCCTTCAGGATACTCTCTAGTCGCTCGTCAAAGTTGGAGATCACTGCCAGCCTCAGTCCACGCTCTCGGCACCCCCTCAGGGTGTCCTCAGCTCCCTCCAACACCTGCCAGTAACTGGGGCTGCTGAAGTCTTTGTACAGTTGGTCAGCGATGGGGGCCATAGCCTGGGCGTCCCGAGCCCCCGCCAGGTGGAAGGTCTGCAGGACCACATCCTGCCACCACTGGCGGCAGGTGAGGCCCTGGCTTAAGCCATAGTTGGGGAAGCTGCGGCTCTGAGCCTTGTACACCTGCCGGAAGGCTTGTTCCAGGGCTGGAGCCTCCACCTTCAGCCCGTGGGCCCGAGCGCTGGAGGCATATTGCTCCCCCACGGGCCGACGGAGCCTCAACAGCGTGTCCTTCACGTCCCACGTCAGCAGTCGTATCTGTAGCTGGTGAGTCATGAGTCTGCAGGAGTGGCCACGTCTGCTCCAGATCCACCTTAAGCTCCAAGGGCCAAGGGGAAACCGAGCTGGACCTCACACTTCCACAACCTAGTGGTTGTCTCTCTCTAGGCTTCGTGGGTCAGACTTTCTGGTACTTGGGTGAGGTCTTCACAGCAGAAGATCCTGGAAGGAGAGGGCAAGTAAAGTGGGAGTTCAGGTTTTAGACCGGATTCAATTTCTGGTGCTGCCAGCTCAGTGGGAGGCCCTGGGAGTCTCACTCTTTGAAGCCCTATCTCCTTCTGGGTAAGAACACAAGGACCCAACCTCACAAGATTATTGGACTAAATACGATTATCTGTTTGTTGTGCAACAAACTTCTGAACATTGATTATGTGCTAGAAGCTGGGAACAGGACAGGGTTCTCATGGCATTTATAGCATTAAGTAATAGGGGATACAGATATTAGACAAAGAACTACACAAACACTTAGGCTTAATGAATGCAGCATGAACCATGAAGTTATAAACCCAAGGACCTTATCTGGTCTTTGTCAGGGAACCTTCTAGGCAAGTGAAGTTTCAGTGGTGATCTGAAGAATGACTATGCAGGAAAGAGAGGCGGTTAAGTGTTTCTGGCACTGAAAACAGCAAGTGCAAAGGTCCTGAGGCAGGGCAAGGAGTCTGGTGCTTGGGGTGGATAGGGGCCAGCTCAGGCAGGGCTGTAGGTCAAGATAAGGAAACAATTATGATTGCTATTCCTATTAGCAATTCCAAAGACAGAAGGGTCCTTGTGGATCATCTGACCAAACCCTTGGCTGTTCAGCAGGGAAGACTGAGCCAGAGAGGGGCAGATATTTACCCACGATCACAGTGAGTCAGCAGCACAGCCAGGACTAGAACCCAGACTTCCAGACTCTTTGGCCAGTGCTTTCTTCCACCCTTAGACATATTGAATTAAAAAAAAAAAAAAAAAACACCAAAAAAACTTTTTGGCAAACCTGTATAATATAGGACAAAAAGCAGACCAGAGCTGCCTGGTCCTACCTGCCTTTAAGCCTCTCTGAGCCCCAGCTTCGCCTATTTATTTATTTAATATGTTTCAGAGAGAGGAAGTGAGAGGGAAAGAAACATCAACAAGAGAAATATCAATGGGCTGCCTCCTGCAGGGCCCCTACTGGGAATTGAGCCAGCATTGCGGGTCTGTGCCCTGTGACCTCCAGGTTCATAGGATGATGCTCAACCACTGAGCCACACAGGCTTCATCGTTAAAGGAGGTAATACCATCTGCCTGGGTGGACAGCAGTGAAAGAACCACCGCCTTAATGCACAGGAAACAGACCCCTCCGCCTGCCGTCCACAGCTGGGTGCAGCTTCTTTCCCCAGGGCTGATTCGGGGTTCCTGCAGGAATCTAAGGGTCCAGAATCCAGAGTGCAGCCACGTGGTAGCCGAGGGAGGGACGCGGCTGGTGCACCTGGGACAGGTCTTAGAGCAAATGAGTCTAAGTCTGTTTGGAACTCAGGGGGACCCACCGAACACCCGCCCTCGCTTTGCAGGCCCGGCGAGGGGCGGAAATCGTCCGAAGTCACGCAGGGACACAGGCTCCGGCTCCCGAGCCACAGCGTCCTCCATTCCTGGGAGCCGGAGCTGGGGGCCGGGCCGCAGGCATGAGCTGCTCACCCCTCCTCCCCACACCGGGCCGGAGCTGGCCGATCGCAGGCTGCCAGCCGTTAGGGGAAACCTCCGAGCCGCCGTCCGCGGCGTGACCGGGCGGGAGGTCTTAGGGACGCAGGCCGGGCTGCCCGGCCACCTGGGCCCTTCTCGGCTCCGGCGGGAGAGCGCGGCCCCGGGCTCAGCCCCACTCACCTGCTCCCGGGACGCCGGTCAGCCCCACTCACCTGCTCCCGGGACGCCGGTCCGAGGGAGGGAGGCCGCAGCCGCCGGCGTGGGAGGCGCGGAGCTCAGCCCGGTGCTCCGCCCCCTCCTCGCCCCGCCCCGCCCTCCACCCTCCTCCGTCCTCACTCCTCCCTCCACCTCCGCCGTGATCTTAGGCTCCTTCTCCGCCCCCAGGAAAGGCCCTCCCACCCTCTCGGATCCCCAACCCGCGTCTCACCGTCACCTAGCACCCTCCCAGCCTCTGCGTGTCCCTCCGCACCATCTGCCTCTTTTCCTCTCTCCGCCCCTAGTCCCCCTCCTTCCAGCCCCTCCGTCTTCCCCGGGTTGGGACACTCCTAGGAGGGGCTCTGCCGACTTGGGCAGAGGGGCTTTGGGTCCCAGGCTTACTGCGTGCCATGTGGACTTGGGCAAGGCAAAGCTCCTCTCTGGTCTGGCCCCCTGTCGGCACCAGGAAGAAACTGCTTTCAGTTGGAAAAACTTATTTAACTCAAGACAATTTGCTGAGGACAGAGTCCTCTGCAGTAACTTAACTGCTCCCCTACCCCCCTTTAATATTCTATTGATTATTTTACAGAGAGGAAGGGAGACGGATAGGAAATCAGAAACTTTGATCAGCTGCTTCCTGCACACCCCCACTGGGGATGTGCCTGCAACCAAGGCACATGACCTGGACCGGAATTGAACTTGGGACCCTTCAGTCCACAGTCTGATGCCCTATCCACTGAGCCAAACCGGTTAGGGGCCCAAGCCCTCCCCCCCCTTTTTAGTGACAGAAAAGGTCTTCAGGCTCATCTTTAAAATGTATCCCGAGCCAAGACTGGTTTGGCTCAATGGATAGAGTGTCAGCTTGGGGACTGAAGGGTCCCGGGTTCGATTCCGGTCAAGGGCATGTACCTTGGTTGAGGGCATATCCCCAGTAGGGGGTGTGCAAGAGGCAGCTGATCGATGACTCTCTCTCATGGATGTTTCTAACTCTCTCTCTCTCTCCCTTCCTCTCTGTACAAAATCAATAAAATATATTATAAAAAAAATGTATCCCGAATACATCTACTTCCTCCCCTCTCCACTGTCACCGCGGTCCAGGTCACCACCGCTGCTCCCAGGGGTTTGCAGTAGCCTAACATGGCTTTTGCTCACACCCTTCCATTTTCCCCATAGCAGCAGAATGTGGGAAAGTGGACCATACATTACAGGTTAAGATGCTTTCGTTGTCTTTGTATCAGATGCAAAGATACAACCCAAGCTTCTTAAAAGGTGCAGGATCCACCTTACTAACCTCTAGCCCTGTCCCCAACCCTTCTCAGTGCCAGTCCCAGCTCCCAGCAGTGCGGCCACGCTCCTCACTGCAGGGTCTTGGCACACACACTTGGTGTTACCCCCACAGCTTCTGGTGTGCTTCCCTCTGCTCCATAAGGACCCTTTCTTTTCCCTTGACCTCGGGGAGGTCCTCCTCCCCCACCTGTTATTCTCTGCCTGGGACCCTTTATTTTCTTCCAAGCACATGTTAGAATTTGTAACTGCTTTATTTGTCCTTTTTCTTGTGGCCCATCTCTCCCATTCTCTTGGGGTAGTTTCCACGCAGAGAGACAAGCTGAGGGCTGTCCGGTTAGATCCTCAGTACCCAGCACGGTGTCTGGGCACAGAAAACACACTCTCAAAAAATATCTCTTTAATAAAAAGCCTTTTCGATGGCGGCATCTCCAACCATCAGGAACTTTCTCTTTGCTTCTGAATTTTGATCCCCTGGCAATGCTTCTGCTCGTTAATGAGTAATTCTTGTCGGGGGTTTATGGCTCAGAGTATAGCAGATGGCAGGCAGCCTTGGCAACCACTGGTCTGCGTGGGAATCGCCTTCTTGTGGAATTGAACTCAGGAATGTCAATCTAGGCCTCAGGCCCAAGGTCCAGCACATGTGGCATGCTGCCAGAGGCCTTGGTCTTTCCACAGCTTCTGAGGATCCATGATCCAACTGTCTTCCTCTTCCCCTAGTGCTCCAAACGCCTCTCCCTTTCAAACGGAAGCAACACCAGAGGAAGGAGCTAGAGCGGCCGCGGTGGCCTCAGGGCTGACACGGGAGGGTGGAGAAGCTTAGCGGAGCCCATGACGATGTGGCTGACAGCAGTAAGATTTGGCAGGAAAAGGGCACAAGGGCACAGTTCTGAAAGCAGATTGACTTTGGTTTTCACTTCTGCCAAGTTCTAGCTCTTGGGTCGTGCACACTCTTTCCATCACGCCTTCAGCCACTGCAACAGCTGAGGTGTGTAGTAGGTGATGATGATGTCGGCACCTTGGTGGGAGAGAAACAGGGGACAGGGGAGGGGTGGGGCATCAGCTCTGGGCATACCTTCTGGGAAATGAGGGCCAGCGGGGAAGAAGGCTATTACAGAGAGTCACAGTTAGTGGGTTTCACAACGTTAAGACTGAGCCCGGTGCTAGTCAATTCTAGCTCTCTGTATTGTGTGACTGTGGGCAAGTCATTTTCTCTTTCTGGACCTTAATTTGTCAATGAATAAAATGCACAGTGGAGAAGCAGATAAACTGTAAGTTCCCTTCTCACACGGCGTGCCATACCAATAAAACCAGCTCCCATTTATGGAGTGAACATACGCCAGTTACACAGATCATCTCACTTAACCCACATGACAGCCACCTACCAGGTATCTTATCTCTACTAGGGACAGGACACTGAGGTTCAGGGAAGTGGCAAGGCCACGGTCTCACAACCCAAAATAACAGAGAGCTCTCTGCTTTCCTCACCGTTCCATGTTCTGTTCTACAGCCATGCCTTCTCCTCGCAGGCTGTGTCTGTTTAGATCACTGTTATACCTCTGGGTCTAAGACTCCAGGCTGTTTCAGGACTTCATTTCCATTTCTGGGCAAACTGCCTATTGGTCTGTGCCCCTGCCAGCTTACCAGCTCTGCGGAAGGCAGTCATGACCTCCAGAACAGCGGCCTTGAGGTCAAACGCTCCAGCCTGGGCTCCGTGCCACAGCATAGCAAACTCTCCAGAAACGTGGTACACGGCGAGGGGGAGCTCTGGGTGCTGCGGAGAAGCGGCAGTAGGCAGAAGTGGATGGTGGGGGTACCCCTGGGAGTGTCCCACGACCCCTGCCCAACCTTTGACCACCTTGAGCCCCATGGCCTGAGGCGCTGCTGCGGACCCAATCTTAAACTGTTAGGGCAGAGCTGTTCAAAGGCTGGTGCCCACTGGCGGCGCCTGGGCAGGGGCAGGGAGGGGAGGATTCCTGTTCAGGGGCAGATTGCTTCCAACTCTGAGATTCTGCAGCCCATCAATCTAAGGTCCCAGAGCCCGTGGACACGCTCTCTCCTTTCCCTGAGCCCCCCTTGCCTCTGCTCTGTGCTCACCTTGTTCTTCACCTCCCGCACAATATCCAGGTAGGGCATTCCCGGCTTCACCATGACCATGTCGGCTCCTTCCCGGACATCGCGGTCCTAAGGGATGAGGCAGGGTGTGGGCAGTGCCTGGGATGCGAGGGGAGAAGGGAGCAGGCTAGCTGGGGCTCAAGCTCTGGTCACTCACCACTGCCCGGAGCGCCAGGCCTCGCGCTCCCGGTGGCAGCTGGTAGCAGCGGCGGTCTCCAAAAGCTGGGCTTGACTGGGCCGCGTCCCTGGGAAGCAGAAACATCAGGGAGGGCTGGCTCCAGCTGTGCGCTCAGGGGTCGGGGCTTTAACAGCAGACCCTAGCCCATGCCCACTCACCGGAAAGGGCCATAGAAGCAGGAAGCGAATTTGGCACTGTAGCTCATCACTGATACCTGTGGAGGGAATGTGGGGATTGAGCTCAGTCGGCCCTTTCCCGATGTCCCAGGGTCACGGGCAGGAAAGGGACCTCGGCTGGGAAGTAGAGTGCCTGTGTTCTGGAGCCCTGGGCCCCGATTTCCGTATCTCAGGGGCAGAGGTTGAGACAATCCTAAAGACCTTTGCAGTGTGTTTTCAGTTCTGTGATTCTTGGCAGATGTGGGGGCAGGGCTCTCTCCTCACCTCCCCACACCCCTCCCCCAACCTCCCTGCTCCCTACCCTGTTGCCAAATCCATGTGCCATCAGAGCCTCCTTGATGGCTTCCACGCGTCCATCCATCATGTCCGACGGGGCTACCACCTGACATCCTGAGGGACAGAGGACGGCCTTCAGAACTCTGGGACCCGCCCCGCCTACTCTGCCACCTCCCTGACCCACAGGGTCTCACCCCTGCTGGTGGCTTACTCACCTGCCTTGGCATAGGCCAGAGCCACCTCTGCCAGCCGCTGGCGGCTCTCCTTGGCCTGGAAAGCCCCATTCTCGCTCAGAAGCCCTGCACGTCAGACAGCTGGGTTTTAGGGAGCGCCTGGCCTGTCCCAGTGGGGGGAGAACCGGGCAGGGGCAGGGGCAGTGCAGGTGGCAGCGGGGCTGGCGGAGGGAGGGAACTCACCACAGTGGCCGTGGGAGGTGTAGGGGCACAGGCAGACGTCGCAGGCCACCAGCAGGCTGGGGAAGGTCTTGCGCAACAGACGAACTGCCTCCACGGTCGGGGAGTCCTCCGCGTCCGCTGCAGAGCCCCGCTCATCCTAGCAACCGGGAGAGGACAAAGCAGTGTGTCTGTCACACGGGGCCTCTGGGAGGCACAATGGCCCTCGCAGAGGGCAGCCCCCACCCTCTCCTTTAAAAAAAAATAAAAATATATATATATTTTATTGACTTTTTATAGAGAGGAAGAGAGAGGGATAGAGAGTTAGAAACATCGGTGAGAGAGAATCATCGACCAGCTGCCTCTTGCACACTCCCCACTGGGGATGTGCCCGCAACCAAGGTACATGCCCTTGACCGGAATCGAACCTGAGACCTTTCAGTTTGCAGGCTGACGCTCTATCCACTGAGCCAAACCGGTTTCGGCGTAACACCTCTCCTTTGATCACCATCTCAGCCTCTGGACGAGGAGGCACAGTGAGGACTCTCCCCGTTTTGCAGAGGGGACTTGACTTGCCCGGTCAGGGTGTCACAGTCCTACTTAGCCTCTTGACCTTACATGGGTGCTGTCTTAATAACAGGGGCCATGTCCATTCGCCTGTGGCCCCTGGGCCAGCACAAGGTCTCAATGAGGGTGTGGTCAGGGTGGAACCTCGGCTCCCCTTCACCCAACCTCCCCTCTACTTCCTCCCCCGATTCCTCACCTTGGGAACTCTACTGGGGACACCAAAGACCAGGACGCAGCGCAGGCCCTCTTCCACCAGGGGCCTCAGCATCTCTTCCAGCCGGTTCACACCATACCTGTGAGGAGGGTCTGCAGTGAGGCAGGCCCCTGGCAAGGTCCTCCCCACCCTGCCGCACTGAGCCTCTGTTGAGAGCCAAATGGCACTTGGTACCAGGAGGGCTCAAGCCCCATAGTATAGGGGGTGGGGGCAGGAACGTACCCAACAAACAGATGGGTAAGCTGAGGCACCAAGTGGCAGACTATGGGACTCAGCTGCAAAAGGCCCCTCCCAGGTTCTTTTACTGAACTCCCATTTGAAGGTAAGCTCTCTTCTCCAAGGCTCTGCTATGATGCCTCTGGTGATGGGGCAGCCCCTTCCTTTACAAGGCTGCCTCTTCAGTTGTGGAATAACTTTGACCCTGACAAACCCTTCTCTCTACTCAGCTGAAGTGAGACTCTCCGGATCTCCTGGGTCTGCTTCTGCTTCCTGGCACCTCCACCTGTAAAATCTCTCCCTCCACCATCCCCCTGCCCTCCCCACCACATACGTCTCCTACCTGGCCACTCCCGGAAGGCTGGCAACAGGCTGTACGTCATCAGGAACATCCCTGCAAGAGTGGGGGTGGGCTATGGATTGGTGGCTGTGGAAAGGGCCAGTGATGAAGGAGTGACTAGGGGGGATGGTAGGGGAGCTGGGAAGGAATATGGAAGTGGAGATGTTGGGAGGAGGATAGGGTCGTCTGGTTCCCCTTGCCTGGCCAAGCCCAGGGCCTGAAATAATAATAGGAACAACAAGAATAACAGTGACAGCAAGAGCAACCTTACTAAAAGACGAGCAATCATAGGAAGCACTCAAGTGGTTAAGAACGTGGACTCTGAAGTCAGAAGGTCCTCACTTACTATCACAGTCACTTCCTAGTACTGACTGGGTGATCTTGGCCAAGTTGTGCCATCTCTTTGAGCCTCAGGCCCCCCCCCCCTTTTTTTTTTATATCCTGGGTGGATTCATTCATTCATTCATACAACAAATATTTATTGAGCACTTACTATGTGCCAGGTACTGTTCTAGGCTCGGGCAGTGTAACAGTGAACAAAACAGACAAAAATCCCTGCTCTCATGGAGAAAACAATCGAGGATGGGAGTGGGAACCTTTTTTCTGCCAAGGGCCATGTGGGTATTTATAACATCTTTTGCAGGCCATAAAAAATTATCAACTTAAAAATTAGCCTGCTATATTTGGTTAGACATTTAATTAACTTACCCCTAATGGCCGGGACCGGTTTGGCTCAATGGATAGAGCGTCGGCTTGGGGACTGAAGGGTCCCGGGTTCGATTCTGGTCAAGGGCATGTACCTTGGTTGCGGGCATATCCCCAGTAGGGGGTGTGCAAGAGGCAGCTGATCGATGATTCTCTCTCATCGATGTTTCTAACTCTCTATCTCTCTCCCTTCCTCTCTGTACAAAATCAATAAAATATATTTAAAAAAAAAAAACAAAAAAAAAGCAAAAAACTTACCCCTAATGCCCTGGCAGGGCCAGATCAAATGATTTCGTGGCCCTTATAGGCCTGGATGTTCCCCACCCTTAATCTAGGGGATAATATTCATACCTCCCTTATATGGATGCTGTCAGGATTGAAAGATAACAGATGTAGAATCTTAGCATAGTACCTGGTACACAGTGAGTCCTCAATAAATGTCAGCTGTTGCTATCCTATATAATAAAAGGGTAATATGCAAATCGACCAAACAGCAGAACGACTGGTCACTATGATGCGCACTGACCACCAGGGGGCAGACGTTTCAACGCAGAAGCTGCCCCCTGGTGGTCAGCGTGCTCCCACAGGGGAAGCGCCGCTCAGCCAGGAGGCAGCACTAAGGATGTTCAACTGCCAGCTTAGGTCTGCTCCTCACATGAGCCAGGATATTCCCCCAGGGCTTCCGGACTGCAAAAGGGTGCAGGCCAGGCCCCGCCTTCCCCTGTGTACGAATGTCATGCACCAGGCCTCTAGTTATTAATAATCCTGACTACCACCTCTTACATGTACATAGCACTTTACAATCTACAGAATATTTCTCAGCTTCTGTCATACTGCAAAAGCTCAGGATGGCAGGCAAGAGTTATTCTTATTTTCCATATAGGAAGATTGAATTCTTCTCAAGGTTTGTTTCATTCTTAAGACAGCTGCTGTCTTTAACCCATACCTTGAGCTCCAAGCTGACAGCTCACTTTATCACTCACAAACAGATGCTTGCTCTGGCCACAGATATACCCACCCACCCACACCCTGCGGATCAGAGACCCGGCTCATTCAGGGGACTCACGTGACAAAGATGGGGTAGATGAAGTTGGAGGCATTGAGCGTGGTGGCGGCTGCCTGCCAGGTCCGAAGCAGCGGGTGGAAGTAGCCGCTGTGGAGAACAGACTGAGGCTGCATGTTGAGCAGTCAGGTACCGGGTAGCCAGCTGGTTGGAACTGAGGGCTCCTGGGGTATCTTCTGGGTGTTCAGCTATGTGGGGGCAACAGGAGGAATGTGGAATGTGAGACATGGTCCCTGTCCCCAGGAGGTGGTCATATACCCCCCAAGTTTTTCTGGATTCTTGGATCTCCTGCTGTCTACCTCAGTGTTCCTCTGCGTGTGGTTCACCAGTCCTTGCTGGTCTATAAGATGATAAGAGAAATGAAAGTAGGCCTTAATATTGCATGCCTGAAACTAATTTGTATACCAACTATACTTAAATAAAACTAGTAATTAAACACTTATTTTAGAGGGGGAAAAAAGAAAGTAGGCCTTAAGAAACTTTCATAGAAATTTGAACCCAATAATATAAAATTTGGGCTCATACTTATATGGCTTCTCTTTTTCTTTTTAAATAATATTTTTCTAGTAATTCATTTTTATTTTATCAAAAAATCAATCTGCGCCAGATAGAAATTAGTATGGGGAACACTGATCTAGCCAACATTTATACTTTGTTTATTCCATGAAAAATGTACTTGGCAGAAATTTTAGATAAACTCATGTAAAAAACTTCCTGTAATTCTACCCTTCAACATGGACTTGTCAAGCAGGACACACACTAAGAGGATTAAATAGCAGTCCCCAACACACACACACACACACACACACACACACACACCCCGTGTAGAGTGGCCATTGACGCCGTCTTTCTTAGCCCTCAGACTTCCTGCTACTCCCCAAGCACAAGCCACACTTGGCCAGCTCCTAGCTCTGCTCACCCTGTTCCCTTTATCTAGAAGCTTGTGCTCTCGCCACTCCTCCAGCCCCAAATCCTACCTGGCTGTCCACAAAGCACTCCTTCCTCCCCTCTCCCACTAAAGCCTCTCTTCTTGCCAAAACCGGTTTGGCTCAGTGGTAGAGCGTCGGTCTGCGGACTGAAAGGTCCCAGGTTCGATTCCAGTCAAGGACATGTACCTGGGTTGCGGGCACATCCCCCAGTGGGGGGGTGTGCAGGAGGCAGCTGGTAGATGTTTTTCTCTCATCGACGTTTCTAGCTCTCTATCTCTCTCCCTTCCTCTCTGTGAAAGATCAATAAAATATATTAAAAAAAAGAAAAAAGAAAACCAATAATTTATAATAAATAAATAAATAAATAAATAAATAAAGCCTCTCTTCTTGAACAGGTCACACTCTCTCTTATATAACAGGTCTTTGTGACTATTTCTTAACTTGTCCCAGTAGACAGATCTTCTGCGGGTTTATAGTGAGTTCATTTTTTTTTTCTTCCCCACACACTCCGCCACATAGTAAATATTACATGAAATACCAGACAATGTGTCCTAAATGCTAAATAAAGGATGTAAGATAGAAGGAAGCTGGGGGGCAGTGTCATTGGTTTCTTGAGCCCCTATTGTGTGCCAGACCACCCTGGGCACTTGCACACATGATTTCTCATTAAGTTGGCACCACAGTCCTGGGAGGTAGGGCCGATTGAATGCATCTCGGAGAGGTGGAACTTTCCTGAAAGAACCATGAGTTCTAATGTGAGTTTGGAGGTCAGAAGACGCTTGTTGAAAGACGATGAGGACTTGAACTGGTTTTGCAGGAGGAGTGGATTCAGCTAGTTAGAGGAAAAGGGGAGAATATTCCCCCAGGAAGAGAAGGAAGGAGTAAAGGTAGGGAAGGAGGGAAGGTAAGGACTGTTCTTAGGACCAAAGGAGGCAATCAATGGTACCATGTGTGTAAGACGGGAAGGGAGGGGAGGGGAGGGGAGGAGAAGGAAATGGGTCAGATTGGGGACAGGAAGGCTTCTGATGGGGGCGGCCTGGTCAGAGCCTGGCTTTAGGAAGAAAATCTTACAGCCCGAGCACAGCAGATTGGAAGCAGAGGAGCACAGAGGATGTGGAGCCAGAGGGGTAGAGAAGGAAGCATTCCGTGTTAGACACTTCCTTTTGGAGGTGTGTACAGATGTCGATGTGAACAAAAGTGACTCCATCTTTGCACCCCTGCTTTTGTTCTTCCATGCCCAGAACTCTGACCTAACTAGTCTCAGCCAGCACCAAAGCCTCACAGTGAATGATTAGCTGTGTCCTATAAGTTCACATAGGGTAACCGTAGATTACTATCAGTAAGTGATCAGAATGACACAGCAAACAAGATAAATATCAAACTAGGTGTTGGCATTAATTCTAAGCCATTAGCCATTGTAAGACCTAGCTCAATGCATTCTTTGTCCCTTAGTCTTGTCAATCATTAGTTCAGCTATACTACAAAAGGTTTATTAGTCTATCTAATAATCTGCAGAGTCAGGTGGGTTGTCTCTTCGGCTCTGATCCAAACTTACAATAAGTAAATGACCCCATCCTAAATTCTGTTATAGTCAATGAACTTGCCTGGTGTTTGTCAGCCTGAAGACACCTTTATAGTTGGGTGGTAATGTACTTCCACTCTACCTTCAGACAAAGTGCCTGTGGGGTCGCTCAGTAGCCAAATAGGGAAGGAAAAAAATAAATCAAGAGCCACTCATCTCTCCTGGTGTGAATGGGATCTCCAGGCTCAGAGAAAGGCAGGGACTTATCAGAGGTTACACATTCCCTTGGCCCGGAGTCCCTTAGTACCGCTGACGATTCCTCTCTCCCCAGACTCGATTCCTCTCTCCCCAGACTCGAGGCCTCTTTTTATCTGACCCGCCTTCCAGTCAGGGTTGGGGTTATCAGGAGCCACACAGGGCCCCACCCTACCACCTGACCACTGAGCCAGCCATATCACCTGACACAGGAGCAGGCCAGGCCTCCCCAAAATGTCCCAACTCCCAAATGAGCAATCATTCCGCAGTTACAAAGTCCCGAGTGACCACTTTATGCAAGATTTTGCTCTCAGCCCGGCCAGTGTGGTTCAGTTGGTTGAGTGTCGTCCTGTGTACCAAGAAGTCAAAGGTTTGATTCCCAGTCAGGTTACATGTCCAGGTTGTGGGCTTGATTCCCAGTGGGGGACGTGCAGGAGGCAGCCTATCAATGATTCTCTCTCATTGCTATTTCTATCTCCCTCTCCCCCTTCCTCTCGCTATAAAATCAATAAGACACATTAAAAAAAGAAAAAGATTTTGCTCCCAGGTCTTCCAGGGATTAGCCTAGCTCATAGAGGTTGTCACTTGCCCAATACTACACAGCTAGTTAGTAACAGGCAGAATTTGAATTTGTTCTAGATGATGAGTATTTGGTTTTATCTGCTCGTCCTGGTAAACACTCGACACAGCAGGCACCTCTCCGCCTTGACTATCTTTGCTTTGCTTTGGTGGCTGGAGAGCTGAGAGAACAAGGAAACAAGAATAGTCCTTTTAGAGATAAGGGAATGGAGGCTTCGAGAGGTTAAGTAACTTGCTCAATGTCACTCTGGAGTCAAATCAGATTTTGAAGCTGGGTCTGCACACGTCTCAGATAGCAACGACCTTTGTGGCAGGCTCCCCGCTTCTGGAACCCAAAGCTGCATTCCACTGGCTGCATTCTCGCTTCCACTTTAGAAGGCCGAGGGAGCAGATGAAGGCCTTCTGTTTATCAGAAGCAACAGGGCAGGGCTGCCTAGGAGCTTTGCAGGTGGGGGACAAGGGAGGGTGAGAGTGGCGAGGGAGAGGCCTCCCTAGGGCAGTTCCACTTTAATATACGCGTGTTGTTTGTTGCATTTTAATGTTAGGGTTCAGAGAGATTTGATTTGAGAAATGGTTATCAGTAATAAAGAAATTAAGTTGAACATCACCAATCCTGTTTATCGCTTATGTTCTGATGTGGAAATTGCATGTAGAGACGTACCAGGACCTGTCTGACATCACAGAGTCAGGTACAGGGCTGGGCTTGAGCACTGGCTTCTAGTCCAGTGCCATACCCTGCACACCACACATGGTCATTCTGTCACAACAGGTGCCGATGAATCAATATCTGTGGAGTAGAAAAACACCCCTGGGCAACAGAGTTGCATCTCTGTTTGCAGAGCAAAAGCCAGGCTGAGGTTTGGGAGATTTTCACACACGTGGGAGGGCACTTCTCTCAAATGGAGGGAGCTTGCAAGTCACTGCTTCAATCCTATCCCGCCTCATTGAAGTCAAGAGCAATTCACCATCCGACCCAGCACCTATGCTCAGCCACATCAGGACAGGTTAGCTTTAACTGGAAGGCAGTATAGGGTGATCCAGAAAAAAAAAAAAAAAAATCTACATTTCAGGGTCCAAGAGCCCCAGGTGGGGTCTGTGCTCAATGCGTGACTCTGAAAGGTTGCTAGCCTTTCAGATTCCTTAGAATGGGAGTTAATGAAACTGGCAAAGCCGCAGAGATGAGAGATAGTGAGCAGGTATGTGCTTAGTCTCACAGTAAACACGGAGCCACATTTATATCAGGAACAGAACTGACCTGGAACTAGATCTCCAGGCGTGCCACCCCATCTGCACATCTGCCTTCTGCACACGCCCAGAAGGGAGAACTTTCATTCAAACTGTGTGGGCTCCAAGGTCTCCCAAGACATCCCAGGTGGGGGTGGGGGCGGGGGTGAGGGTGGGATCGCTGCCTTCCAGCAGTGTATGGGGTGGGGGGGGGGAGGAGGAGAAATAATCACCACACAGATGCTACAACAGGGGTGGACCAGGTGCGGTGTGAGGGATCTGTGTTCTCTGGGAGTAAAGGATGGCTTCAGGGAAGAGGGGACATGGAGGAATAAGCTGCTTTTCAAACTGGTTGTAAAGGTAGATCTCCTTTCTTAGAAGGCAACTTTCCCAACCTGGGAGTCAGATAAGTTGGGCCCTGAGAGCTGCTACCAGGAGGGACTGAGAAAGAGCTGCACCCCATGTTGTACTCAGCTGAGGATTCCAGAGGTTATGATCTTGGCACCGAGGGCTGGGAGCTACTGCCAGCTCTAGCAGGCTCTGCCACTAGCTGGGGAAGGCCAGCTAGGTAGAAGGTGGCCAGGGCTGAAAAATCCAAAGCCCCTGA